TTTTTTTTTTTTTTTTTACTACAGTATGTTCTTCTCTCAAATTCTTTTTGCCTTTCACTACCTTCCTACCACAGTACCACTACTCCTAAGACTATAGAATTCAACCTCAGGCTGAGAATTCTTTTATTATTATCATGTAATTGTCTTGGGCACTGGGCCCTGTTAATAAAAGTGCAATTTCGGTAAACAAAAAAAAAAAAAAAAAGAGAATTGTTTCATTATTGGGTGTATCTCCACCGGCCACAGCAGCAGGATCTGAGCGGCCACTTCCACCTGGCCTGACGCTCCCTCATTGCCACTGGTTACAGGGCGGCACAACTCACCCTACAGTCTTCCCCCGAATACAACGTACGGTCATTCTAGCTGAATTTAGACTGAAAGATGCCCCAGATTCGGCTATAATGACCGTGCGTTGTATTACCAGTCCGTTGACTGGCGCAGGACCGCCGGTCATCCTCCTCAGGTGACGGCTGCAGGAATAGAACCCAGCACCTAGTACACGGTGCTGCTCCGGCATGAGACCTAGCCCACGAGACCATTCTGGACACTCCTTTTTTTTTTTCTTTTCTTTTTTTTTTTCTTTTAGGGTGTTGGAGAGGCCAAGGACCTGACCCTCGGGTGATTGCTGGCAGCAGCTGCGGCAGCCAATGGTTGTCCTGAAAGGATAGGCCACCTACCCTACCCATCCCCACGTTAATACTCCCAGCACACCCCCTGTCCCTACTATCCTACCTCAGTGTGACCAGCACTCAGGAGTCAGGACCATCACCCTACCTGTATTGAGGGCAACTTGGACCATCGAGTATAATGGCCTTATTAGATGTGGGACCCTTTTTTTTTTTCTTTTTTTTTTTTTCAAAACACACACACCCCTGCAGTGCTAGTGGTACTGGTGGGGCCAGAAACCACTAGCACCCGGGGGGAGGCTCCGTCTATTGGTGGGGAGCATCACCTGCTGGAAACCGGGTCCAGCGTCCCTTGATGTGGGACCCTAATAGGAACTGCACGAGGCCTTCTCCTTATAAGATGTTGCTACACTTATAGGAAATGCAGCACGAGGCCTTCTCCTCCAGTGCAACCCAGTCCCAGTCCTGTCAGCGTTGCTCGCAGCACAAACAGCACATGAGATGAGATCATGTCATTGAGAAGGCATATAACACGGGGGCACATACAATGATAGGGCACACACAGACATACCTTGGCGGGTTTCGGTTTGTCTTTTTCTTTCACTGTTCCAATGAACCACTGTAGCACACCATCCTTGGGGCAGTGTTCAATCACGCTTCCGTCCATTAGCGAGAACGTGGAATGACAAAGTGGGCACTCAATTCTTGGTTCTGGCTCTGAACCAACTTCAGCCGGATCTGTCACCTGGAGGAGAAACAAATGATTGATACAGCAAAATAGAAGAAGAAGGGAGAAAAAGAATAAATAAAGGAAGAAGAAGAAGAAGAAGAAGAAGAAGAAGAAGCAAGAAGCAAGAAGCAAGAAGAAGAAGTAGAAGAAGGGAAAAAATAAATAAATAAAGGAAGAAGAAGAAGAAGAAGAAGAAGAAGAAGAAGAAGAAGAAGAAGAAGAGCATGAAAGAGGTGGAAAATATAAGGATAATATTTAACTGGTGTTTCACGAAAATAGTTTGAAAATGCACTTCAGGCAATCCTGCAAACAGAACACACCCCCACGTGACCCCCACATGTCCCGAGACCTAGGTCATATACATTCACCATTACCAGCCCTTTTGCCTCAACTCAAGTGCATTTTCAAACTGACATGCTGACTGCGCCGTAGTTTTCTCTTCCTCTTTTTTTGTTGTGTGTGTGGAACCCCTCATAAGACCAGACCAGACCCGCCCACCCACCCTCCCTTCCTCTCGTCAATTTCTCTGGAGCACCCCTACCCACCCTGTCCTACCCTACCCTCTTCCCCCGAACACAACGCACCCTCATCTTGCCTGTACCGGACAGGATATATCGCTTGCATACGTTCAATTTCAGGGTGCGTTATGTTCGCGGGAAGACGGTAGTGTGTTTAAATTCCGAAGTACAAACCAGACGAATAAGCAGACAAATGAATGAATGCATGAATGAACAAAGTTCAACTTGAAAATGCCTGATTAAGCTCATTAAGGCTCGACGAAGAATAATAAGACGAAGAATGAATGAAGGAATGAAGGAAGGAAGGAAGGAAGGAAGGAATGAAGAAACTTAAGTCGAAAATGCCTGATTGGGGTCTTATTAAAGCTCGAAAAAGAAAAGGAGCAAAAATATAGACCACTAGCAGTCTAGCAGATATAAAAAGGGGTCATTTTTTAAAGGCTGCCGACGAATTTTTAATCAAAAACATCGACTGTTGGAAGGGTTGGGTTCAAGTTCTGTCCGAAGGCCTCGCAGAGAGGCATACCCCCTTTCAGCGGAAGGACTGAGACTGCTGACTGCTGCCATGGCTTTCATTTGTTGCAAGATGACGACAACCCGTACGTTTCGCACCTGTGAGCCATCCACAGCTCCGCAGATTCGGTGTCGAATCTCCGAATCTACGGAGCAAACTCAGTTGGCTGATCTCCCTGTCAAAGACAAGCTGCGTCGGTATCATCATCCTGACCCGCTCCCCCATAACCCCCTACCGCTTGCATCTTCCTTCCCCCACGACATCTCATCCTTCCCCCACGACATCTCATTCCTGCCAGATCTCCCAGTGCACGTGCTTCTGATACTGATATGCCTTTTCCACATGTCAACAATGGCTCAACAACCATCCCCCAACTCCCCCGCCTCTTTTTTTTTTGTTTTCGGGACAAAAGCTCCCCGGCCTCTTCTCCACCCCTGCCTCCCTATTCTCCCTGMCCCCAGACCCCAGTCTTCCCGCCTCTACTTATTTTTCGTCGTCTTTCTCCCTCTCTCCTGTGTCCGCATCCTCATTCTGCTAGCATCTTTTTTTTTTTTTTTTTTTTTTTTTTTTTTTTTTTTAATGTATACAGATTGTTATACCTAGCATCTTCTTTCCGCCATTATATCCCATTCCTGCCAAATCTCCCACGCGCTTCTGCCACACGTCAACTTCCATTCCCCAACTCCCCCGCTTCTTCTCCACCCCTGCCTTCCTGTTCTCCCTGACCCCAGTCTACCCGCCTCTACATCTTTTGTCGTTTTTTTCTCTCTTTCCCCTCCCCTTCTTCTGCCCCCCCCCCCCCCCCCCCTTGGTGTGCTCTTCGCGAACGTGTCACTGCTCGTTGTTCATGTGTGTCGTCGATCTGGTGGTATCGTGCTTCTCGGCCATTTCAACTCTTCTCATACTCTCACAGTCTCACTCATACACTAGCAGATAGAATAAGAATTCTAGTGGAACGATTTCTTGAAGTCAATGTTAACTTTTGGCCCTTCTTTTCAAAGACGCTTGATGTGGCTCATCAAGCCACACGCTCCCACGGGTTGGCTTGTCCCCCTTTTCGTACAAGCTCCTCCTCCAGACTCCCCTACTTCATGGGAGGAGCAGTCCAAATGTTGAATGAGAAAAAGATGGGACGGAAACAACTGAGAGTGGGGGAAGTACTGATTGAGTCCCAAACAGAGTCCTGATCTAGGCTACCAGCCGGGCCGCCTGGGTCGCCTTGTTTGCCCGGGCGGCGCGGCCGTGCAAGGGCCAAAGAGGGTCCCGGCCAAAAAAGAAGAATATCACATGATATCAGAGCGGCAAAGCGAAAAACAGAAACAAGAAATATATCTTCTTCCTTACAACTCCCCCTGTTCAGAACCTCTTGGCAATGCGTACAAGGCCGTCCACGTGGATGTAGGTTGAGCGGGGGCTGCCCCCACCCCCGGTGTGTCATATCGACCCACTTGCACACAGCCAAAAGGCAAAGAGGCAAAGAAGAGATAAAGGGAACAGCCAAATAAAACAGACAGAACAGGGGGCAACAAAACAGATCCCACATGACAAGTCCCACATGCAAGCACCGCCCCTGTCCACACACAGGCCAAATGACGGGACAAGACCAACCAGGATGTCAAAACATTCTTGTCTGCAAAGAAATCAAAAAAAAGTACCAAAAAGAACCCATCCCGGATGAAGATTCCCACATACAAGCACCGCCCCGCTCTTTAAAGGCCGAACAACGGGAAACAACCAACCAGGATGCCAAGACAATTAAAAAAAAAAACTGGATGACTGGTCCCACATGAAGCACCGCTTCCTGCTGCAAAATAGACCGAATAACGGGACAAAAAACCAACCGGGATGCAGACAAGATTACCACAACAAAACGAAATACCCCAACAACCGGGAAAATTACATAAAAAATGGGATGTGTCATCTAGTTTGTTTGAGTAATATATATTTAAATTAAATAATAGAAATAGAGTAGCCTGAGTAGGCCTTACAATTAACACGGGGAGTACACCTTGCACTACCGTCTTCACCGGAATAGAACGGTTGGGAATTATAGCTGTATTTGGGCCAAATTGCAGTCTTGATACAGGGATAATGACTGGGGCATTGTATTCAGGTGAACAAGGTAGGCCTTACTCTGCTGCACCTTCTCCAAGAAGTGTTTACACAACGTTACAGGAATAGATGCAGATATTGCCAGATAAGAAAAAAAGATAATAAAAACAAAATCGAGAAAAAAAAAAATTGCACTGACCCTGGCTGCACCGCCGCTCACCGCCCTTCTGCCTATCACTGCTCAAACAATAGTTGCCTTGTGGAAAATTTTCGAAATTTGAAATTTCAGGTTCTCAAATTTTCAACTTTTCGCTTTCAAAATTTACAAATTCTCAAATTCTTTCAACATTCAAAACAAAAATCAAAAATTATTTTTCAGTAAAAACAAAGAAAAAGTTTTTTTTTCCAAAATTTCAAATGTTGAAATTTTCGAAATTTCAGATCATTGATGTTTCAAATTTTTAAAACAACAAATAGCAAACCTCTGAATTTCTAAAAAAAAATGACAAAAAGTTGAAAAAAAATCAAGTTTCCAACTTTGAAATTTCAGGTTCTCAAATTTTCAACTTTTCGCTTTCAAAATTTACAAAATTAAAAATTTCAAATTCTTTCAACATTCAAAACAAAAATCAAAAATTATTTTTCAGAACAAAAAAAAAATCTCGTTTTTTTTTTTAAATTTCAAATGTTGGAGTTTTTCGAAATTTCAGATCATTGATGTTTCAAATTTTCAAAATTTCAAATCCAAAGCTTCTTCCCTAACTCCTCCCCCTGTCCTCCACATATAGTACCTTCACCCAGCCTACCTCGCCTTTCATCAAAGGAAATTTGCACGAGGTGCAATTCGCATCGATCGCGTACGTCTGGTCCTCTCGTCGAATGAGCACGAATCTGCATATTGAAAAAAAGAAAAAAGAAAAAAAAAAAAAGAAAACAGAATCAAATTCACTCAGAAGAAGAAATCTGAGCAGCTCTGTCCTTTTTCTTTTTGAAAGGTGGGGGTCGCACCACCCCTAAAATTGTTGCATCAATTTGAGGACATACTGGCACTTTCCTGGATGTATCTGATCGCTTTTACGGTCAGGTTCACAAATAACTTCAAAAAAAACGTCCTTGTGTGCGTATGCCACAACTCCGTGAGGATTTGATTTCAGGTTCGAACTTCGAACTCACTATCTGTGCAATATCAAAAGTAACTTTTAATGAACCGACAGATAGTCAGTTCGAAGTTCGAACCTGCAATCATGAAAAGTTACCAGATGAGTATGCCACAACTCTGTGAGGATTTGATTAAATTGATTTCAGGTTCGAACTCACTATCTGTCTGTTCATTAAAAGTAACTTTAAATTGATTTCAGGTTCGAACTCACTATCTGTCTGTTCATTAAAAGTAACTTTAAATTGATTTCAGGTTCGAACTCACTATCTGTCGGTTCATTAAAAGTAACTTTAAATTGATTTCAGGTTCGAACTCAGTCTATCTGTCTGTTCATTAAAAGCAACTTTTAATGAACAGACAGGTTTCTTTTAATGAACAGACAGATAGTCAGTTTGAAGTTCGAACCTGAAATCATGAAAAGTTACCAGATAAATTACACCATGAGTACGCCACAACTCTGTGAAGATTTGATTAAATTGATTTCAGGTTCGAACTTCAAACTCACTATCTGTCTGTTCATTAAAAGTTAAAAGTTTTCAGATGAGTATGCCACAACTCTGGGAATACTTAAAGTTTGTACACACCAGCATCCAGCCACATGCGCTGGGTACCCTTATCATTATGTCGTTTGTTTTTTTGTTTTTTTTTCCCTTCCCCCCACTAGCATATTTACCCCACCACCCAAACACATTGCCGGGTAATTATTATAGATATTCCAGGGTTACCAGGTGGAACGTTCGGGGGGGACCGGGGCCGGCCTGATCCCTCAGGCTGAACGTTCGGGCGTTCGGGGTCCGAACCCTTCGGACCCACCAAAAAATATTTCAGGGCTTACTTTTTTTTTTTTTTTTTTTTTTTTAATGTGAGCTATATGCCTAAACATTTTGAAGGCATTTTGACGATCTTAAAAAAGAAAAGAAAAATCACCAAAGATGATGGTGTCAAAACGTGATCGCCCCCTCACTATTTTTGTTTTTTTTTTCTCGCTTTTCACTGGTTGTTTTTGCTTTATTTCGGGGCCTAAACAATTTTAGACTACTGGTCCGGACATCGATCCGGACGGTCCGGTAACGAAAGAACAGGTCCGGATGTCAGGATTAAAAAAAAAAAAAAAAAAAAAACGCTACTGTAGTTGTGTAACTTGAGTTATCCGACTTATCTTGAACACACTCACATACACTCACAGCTGCAAGAACAATGGAAGGGGTACCCGAAGGACAACCAAAAACTGTCTAATTATAAAATTGCCTTAATATGTTGGACTGTGACTGTCTCATCTCAAATGCTCTCGTTGTCGGCAATACGAAAAAGACTGCTTGATTGAAGTTGATTCTGAATCTATAACACACACACACACACACACACACACACACACACACACACACACACACACACACACGCACACGCACGCAACCAGTTCTGCTTGGCCCGCTGAAGCTCACCCAAGATTGCGAGTACAGGCCCTTCAGGGCCGGTCCGGTTGGCCCAACGCTCCACCAGAAACTGCGCCAACAATTTTCGGGGGTCCACCAGGCACTGGAAAATTGCCTGGGGACCCCAATTTTTTTTTTCGGATTTTCTCAAAATGGGGCCCAACCGGACACCTCAAACCGGACACCGGATCCGAACATCCAGACCGGACTGTCTGGATCCCGATCCGGACGTCCAGTTGACAACCAGGCAATTTTATTATTTTTTGAATTTATTTTTATACGTTTTTTATCATGTACAAAACACATCGATAGATTTTCAGGGCATTTGGCTTACCCAAAAAACAATCCAAAATCGCCAAAGATGGCGGTGTCAAAAACGTGCTCGCCCACTCACCTTTTTTTTTTTTTTTTTTTTCTTACTTTTGTCAATTTATCTTATCAATCATCTGAGTCTAAGTTTGCTATGTTTGTTGACATGGCTAAAGAGGTGTCACCTTGTATATTAATTTTAGATGATGCTGATTTTCTTCATAAAAACATCTATACATTTTCTCAAAATAGAATTCGAACCTAGGCTACCAGTCGGGCCACCCGGGTCACCTTGTTTTCCCGGGCAGGCAGCCTGGCTGCGCAAGGACCAAAGGAGGTCCCAGCAAAAAAAAAAAAAAAAAAAAAAAATCCAAAAATTATGTTAAACAATTATGTTATGCAGAAAAATAAACTGCACAACGTCTGGCTTAGGGTCACATCGAAATTCCTTACCAAATTTAGAATAAAAAATAATTGAAAATAGGGATAATTTACCCACAGGCATGTGGATCATTTCCACATGCCTCTACTCTTTTCATTTTCGTTTATTAAGGACTTCCATCGCAATTATCCCCCCCATCCCAACCCACCCCCCCCATCCCAATCCATCACAATTTCTCCCCCCACCCCAACCCATCGCTACTATCCCCCCAATCCCAACGCACCCCCCCCATCACAATTATCCCCCCCATCCCAACCCATCGAAATTCTTTACCAAATTTACAAACAGGCATGTGGATAATTTCCACATGCCGCCACTCTTTTCGTTTTCATTTATTAAGGGCTTCCATCGCAATTATCCCCCCCCATCCCAACACCCCCCCCTCCGCCCCCCAGCCCCTTTCTTTTTTGAAGTCCAGAAAAGTTGAGAAAACTTCAAAAGAATCAAAATTCAGAAGCAGGGGAAGAAAATTTGCCAACAAAGTTCGCGGGAAGTAATTTCAAATTAAATTTTAATAAATTAACAAAAAAATAAAAGAAAAATATTTTTTTAACCAAACTGGTCTCACCCCTTGTTATCAACGATGACAGCCTTGTAGGATACATCATCATCATCAAAGTCATCAACAGCTGCTACCTGTGCCAGTCATAAAGAAAAAGACACATTGGGATCCGGATCTTAGAAGTCCAGGGTCATAGTAGTAATTCATAAACAGCAAAAGTTCCCACTTAGATTAAACCAAAAAAAAAACTCTAAGGAAATATATATAATATAATAATATTATATACTATCATTTCTTTTCAATAAAATACACAATAAATAGATAAAAATAGAAACAGTATCATAGAAATATCATATCCCTTAAGCAGCATTGGCCCCACGGGAAGGTCCATGATGCGCTGCGTGCCGGATTCGGTCGAAGTTTTGGTGAGGGGCGGCGGATGAAGGCGGGGGGAGTGTGCAGACGGGAGCGTGTACCGAAATGTTCACAGTGCGCCATTAAACGAGAGCGCAGGCCCCGGGGGCGGGGCACACGGCTGGCGTTGATGCGGACGAACATCTTGGAGGCGAGCCATCCAATATGCGGGTGGCTTTTTTTTGTTTTTGCTTTCAACGGTTGGCCATCGTTTTGTGTCCCCTTTTTCCGTTTTTCATTTCTCTCACCTGTCGTTTTTTTTTTTGTTTTTTTGTTTTTTTTCACCTGTCGTTTTGTGTCCCCCCTTCTCTTGATTTTTTTTTTTTTTCCTTCCTTCTTTTTTCATTTCTTGCATGGCTGTCGTTTTGTGTCACCCTGTAGGCCGTTGTTGTTTCTGCGGACGAACATGTTGGAGGTGAGCCATCCGAAATGCAGTGTGAGGTCACCCACTGCATTTGTTAATTCTGCGGGCGCAGCCCGCACCGCCCGCACCGCGGGCACTTAGCTAGTACGGATATATAGTACAGAAGCTGGACTTCAGTCCTTTCTTTTTTTTTTGTTTTCCAAATGGACTTCAGTCTTGAGTCAATTGAATTCGCTGAGTCAGACTTGAAGTTCATGTTAAACTACCACTACCTCTGAGCCTCTTTTCCCCACTGGGAGGCAGAAAAGAGCTGTGCGCCCAGCTTTGCCGAAGATCCAGCACGGCTGCTTTCTTTTTTTGTCTTTTGTTGTTTTGCCGGGCCCCACCAGCGATTTTCGTCTCGTAGTGCCCGCCCTCTGAAGAATGCGCTATAGGTTATATACACCCCAGTCTTAGGAGGTTTCCAGTTTGCCTTGTAAACGGTAGTCAATGGCCAGGGGTGGTTTCAGCCACATTTGGCATTACTTGCACCAGTGTTACATGATTATGAATAATAATAATAATAATAATAATAATAATAATAAGAAGAAGAAGAAGAAGAAGAAGAAGAAGAAGAAGAAGAAGAAGAAGAAGAAGAAGAAGAAGAAGATAAAGAAAACGAGCACTTGCTCATGCCATGCGTCTGAGGGGTAATTTAAAACACATCTAACAGGTCCGAGATGCAGATCACGAGTTCGAATCCCCTAGTATGTTACAATCAGACTCGTTTTCAAACACACTTTTCACACATGTAAACAGTAACGCAGCACACTGGCGACATGCGCCCACTCAAAACTCAGAGATATGGTTTTCAGATACGAGTTCACTCCCAATTGGCTATGGCGACCTCAGCGCACAAACATCTCACTGTTCACATACACTGGATCACCCTGGATATCCCACACGCATCACTCTAACACTGGAGCACACACACACACTCACTACTAACTA